ATGACAACAACACACTGGTGCCATGACAATAACACACTGGTACCATGACAACAAAACTGGTGCCATGACAACAACACACTGGTGTCATGACAATAACACACTGGTGCCATGACAACAACACACTGGTGTCATGACAATAACACACTGGTGCCATGACAATAACACACTGGTGCCATGACAACAACACACTGGTGCCATGACAACAACACACTGGTGCCATGACAACACACTGGTGCCATGACAACAAAACACTGGTGCCATGACAACAACACACTTGTGTCATCACAAATACATATTGATGTCATGACAACATACTGGTGCCATGACAACAACACACTGGTGCCATGACAATAACACACTGGTGCCATGACAACAACACACTGGTGCCATGACAACAGTGCTATGACAACAACACAGATGCTGTGACAACACACTTGTAGCCTATCCTAACAGAAAAGATGGATGCTCCCGTACCCCCCCCCCCTCCACACACACACACTTTTGTTCGGCCTAATACACGACGAAACCTAGCAGAAAGGTTTAAAGAGCACACTTTCAATTAACTAAAAGATCAAGAGTCTAAACGTATTAGCTTAAAAGTGCAGATTAACCTTGATTTTAAGTTTAAGAAATGTTTTATACAGGAAATAAATGCGGTTATTAAATAACATGTTTTGTATCAAATTAGATATTCGACTCTTGATTAAGCTAACAATCTGTGCTTTCTGTTTACATCGATCAGTTTATATAGCATTAAAAACATGATCATTTAATTAATTTTCAGCTAATTTTAAATAGTTTCAATTTAAAAAATAAATAAATCTAAAATAATAAAAAAAAAACGTAAAAATAAACCGGGTGTGATCTCCCCTAACTTTCTCGAATATTCTTATATAAAAAAACAGGGGATGGGAACTCGGGCTATAGACATGATTTTTAATCCATTTTAAATACTTAAAGTTTTAAAAATAGAATAAAATCTCGTAGACAAAAGAATTGCACACCAAGTGAACGCCAAATAAAAAAAAGTGCATAATAGTGCGCAATATTATTAGTACTTTAAAAATGTACATTAGTTTTTTGAGAAATCGGAAGTAGCGTAAATTACTACTTCCGGTCAACGGAAATTACTCAAAATTAAACAGAAGGTAGAGAATTAGATCTTATACTTACATGTGAAATTTCATTTATCTATCTGAAATAGTACTCAAGTTATAGGCTTTTGAAAAATTCAAAGTAGAAAAAGTACCACTTCAGGTTATCGGAAATCGCTCAAAAGTTGATACGGATCTACGATTTTGATAAAATACTTATATATGAAATTTCATCAACCTAGCTGTAACGGTACTCAAGTTATCGTGTTTACACACACACACAGACAGACACACAGACAGACACACAGACATACGGACAGAATTGCAACGCCCAGTTTTTCAGACTGGATTACGCATAAAACCTCTTAATTTTGATAAATCTGGATTGATAATTTTTGCCCGATTAAAATAAGTCCTCTATACTTCGGATGTGATGAAGGACTGAGGTGTAATACGGTGTAAATTGTTAAAATTTCAAGTGATTTTTGTGCACGATTACAATACTTTCTCTATACTTCGTATATACGAGAAAGTAAAAAAACGTACGCAAAGAAAAATAACATCTTTATAACACAATTCTACCTGTGTTACTTTTTAAATCTGATTCTAATGTGATTTCGATCCGATTCAAATCTAATTCTAACATTAGTGTAACGTTATTATAACCTAATTCTAACCTGATTATATCATGATTATTACCTTAATATAACATGATTATAACATGATTGGCTGTCTTGCTATTGAATAGACTGCGCGGAGAAAACGATTGATTCCATTGAAGAAAATTAATGCAAAAAATAGTAGTGAGGTAAGCAAGCAACAATACTTTTACTAATTAAGAAAAAAAACCACCTCACTAATGTACTAGAAAAAAAAAACGATCAATTATAAAAAAAAATTGAAGGTATTGAAAACTAGTTTGGTTAGCAAAAAATTTTAAGAGAAATTCCATTCCATGTTGAGTTATTAAAAAATAAACCCAAACAAATTTCAAAATAAATAAATTATTGCATTCTTTTTTGGTGAAATAATTGACGCTGTTGAGGTAGGGGGGAGTAAAGCGAAGTAGATCGATGCAGAAATTGAAAGCAAACAACTCTCAGATATGACGCTCAGATAGGCAGGTGAAGTAGATCATCTGTTATGTAATCTCGGCGTGGGTAAGGGTTATGCCAGAGGCCGGGGACAAACTTTCCATTTGCACTCCCCTCAAGATTTCGATTTGCACCCCCCCCCCTCAAATTTTCGATTTGCACCCCCTCCCCCTCAATATTTCCATTTGCACTCCCCCTCAAACTTTCGATTTGCACCCCCCTCCCCTCAACATTTAAATTTATTTTTCCAACCCATTTTGGCGCCCCCTAAGGTCGGCGCCCGGGGACATATGCACCCCCGCCCCCCCCCCCCTTCGCTACGCCTCTGGGTTATGTGGTCAGCAGGGTGTCCAGTCGCGGACCAACTACCGTCGGACTGAAGTTTTTTCCTACTGACTTTACCAGAGGAATCGAACCCCCGAGACATTCGGTTTACTGTTTGACTGCTCTACCACTCTACTATAACATGATGCTGTTGTAGGATTAGAAAAAAAAATATATACGAACTCTCGTATCCATGGCTACATTCTTTGAATGGGTCCCAAGTATTTGATAGAGCTATTTCCTAGGACGCTTTTACGGCTTATAAAATCAAATAATGGTAAGCTGTAAAAATTTGAAGTTTAAACACCGTCATTTTAGTAAAGATTTTGAGATCGTATTTTAATTTGTATTATTAGAACAAAAACAAAACCGAAACAAAACAAAACAAAACAAACTGACACAAACAAAGTGAAAAAAACCCCACCACTTTTTAAGTGTCAGAAATAAAGTTATCAAATGAGTTTATTAAGTGAACAAATTGGTTAAATAATTGCTTTTATTTTCAAAGATTTGCATCAGGCAAGTAAACATGTTGAATTGAAATCGCTAAAATTTTTTGTTCTGACAAAACTTTACAAAAGTTCATAACGACATAGAAAAGGAGAAATTTATTTTTTTGTGAGTCGGAGATTCTTCTGGAATTTGTCTTTATTTTAATAGGAAAAAAACAATGGCTTTTAGATGAATTATATTTTTCCGCTGTTGTTGAGACTATCCTTCTTTGTGTCTAAAATGTGAACTATTATCGAATCTTCTTAACACGTTCCCGCATTACAACTGGAACAAAACAATCAACATCGTTGAGAAAGACAAAAAACCGGCAACAAAACAAACACAATTTTAGCTGTTGTTCAGGGCTAAAGCGCATGCGTAAATTAAATTATTATTACCCTTTTCAGCAACTTCACTTAACAATATATCTATTCTTATAAATATTGAAAACAATTAGACGTCTTATTATAGCTCGGAGAAAGGGTTTTAGAATGTTGACGTTAAGAAAGAGAAAAGGATGCCGTTATCAACAAAGGGGTTGTAAATAATTGTCGCGCTTTTAACTTAATCCCCACCCTTCCCTCAGAATCACATTCTTATCGGCACTCGTCATCATAAAAAAGCCAGGCGTCTTTACAACAACATCATTGAATTCTACCCATACCCCCCTCCCCCGCCCCCCCCCCTTCCCTTTTCCCTCATATAACCATAGCTGTAAAAAATATTTTAAATCTTTATTTTCCTATCGGTACAAGACAAGAAGAGCATAGTTTCTTCCAGGCCCCCCCCCCCCCCCCCAAGAAAGTTTACCGCCCCACCCCCACCCCCGCCCCAACGGACGAAATGAAATTTATATAGAAAAACGTATATACTTTTACCAGTGTCCATCACCCCCCCCCCCCCCCCGGTAAATTGTAGTCCGCCCCCCCCCCCCGAAAATATCAAGTGCCCCCCCCCCCCCCCCCTCGGAGAAACAATTCTGGAAGAAACACTGAAGAAGTGGGACATCAAAGTGATAGAAAATTTGGCAGTCACGCACAGAGAATTTCGGATGTGATTTTACATATCTGAAAAAAGAGTTGAAAAATACTTGGTTTACATTGATGTGAGGGAAAAGCAAGCCATATTCCAGCAGAATTGATTTAGAATCGTGGAGTAGAACGTAAATCACATAATTGTAATTGTTCCATTGAAGATAGTTTTCAGCTTGAATGCGGGACACGCCTTTTTCCCCAGTAATCACAGATAATGTCAGGACAGTCACATGTAGCATGACGTCATGAAACACGACAAAAGGTCAATGAACGCTCATGCAAGGTTTATCTTTAATCGTATGAGCAAAGTAAATAATATGGTTGAACTTTGTAAAGTAAATAATATGGTTGAACTTTGTAAAGTAAATAATATGGTTGAACTTTGTAAAGTAAATAATATGGTTGAACTTTGTAAAGTAAATAATATGGTTGAGCTTTGTAAAGTAAATAATATGGTTGAACTTTGTAAAGTAAATAATATGGTTGAACTTTGTAAAGTAAATAATATGGTTGAACTTTGTAAAGTAAATAATATGGTTGAAATTTGTAAAGTAAATAATATGGCTGAACTTTGTAAAGTAGGCTTGATAGGATCAGTTAGTTTTGTAGGGCGCATGGGAAAAAACACACACTTGTGAACAGAAGAATTTAAGTTGTAGGTCAGGGAATAAAATACAATTGTCTTGTTCTTCGTTCTTGATTTTAGGGTTGGAAGATATTGCATTTCAGACTGAAGAGGAGTCTTCTTTAGAAACTGGAGACCGCGCTGATGTCTTTGGAGATTACAAATTACACTTCCGGATACCGAAAAAAGTGGAAGATTGTGGTTGAGACTCAATGCCCCAACCAAAAGTTAAAAAGGACTAAACTAAAAAACAAACTTAAAACCAATTAGAACTTGAACTATTGGATAGCAACTCACCTGTATAATAACTACAATTCTATCTAAACTGTACACTCACCTGTACAGCAATCAAAATGGCCGTCATGGTCAGTTGAGATTGAGGGCTGATGAACCGTGGCCGCTGGTTGTTCTTGGACCCGCTCTCGAAGATACGGTAGATACGTATGACCTTGACCAGCAGAGGCGCGTACAGCCACGTGAAACTCAAGCAGAAGAGGAAGTAGAGTGTCCCACACGTCCCGGGGGTGGGGGTCGTCTGGAAGAGGATGACCGTCAGGTAGCCGACAAAGATGGCGACCATCTGGAGAATGCTCAGCTCCCGGCTCGCGGCCTTGATGACCTTGACCTCCCGGTAGCGCACGTAGCAGACGACGATCAGGACCGCGCAGACGATGGCGGCGACCCCGACGCACAGCTGTATCAGCGGGAGCGTGTCGGTGACGGAGTGGTACGTCAGCGCGATGTCCACGCACGTCGTGTAGTTGGACGCCTCGTCGGGCCACGTGAAGACGTCGCACACCTGACATCCGGTGCCGTTCCTGACGATTCGCTCGTTGTCCCGGCACCGCAGACACTCCCAGCAGCACTCCAGCTCCTTCTGGATGACGTATTCCCCGACCCCACAGGGCCGGCTACACACCGACTCCGGAACTACCCGAACCTCACCCTCCCTCAGTGGTACAACCGGCTCCTCTGCATTATAAAAATCCCACCTAATGGCTCGGCTGGTGTAGTTTATGGTTTTTCTTTGCGTGTCGTATATAGCGATTAACTTATGCTCTGGGCCTAAAGTGGATGTTTTATTAATGAAACTAATGTCTACGTAGTCCATTACTACTTGGCGAATTTGATAAAGCCCTTTGATATCACCGAGGTTGTCGTAGTATATGTGCCCGTTATAGCTATCGAATGAGACGTTTTTTAAGTAGCTTAAGAACAGGTCACCTTTAATACAGTCTCGGAGCGCCTCACCTGTTGCACCTGGGCAGGTGTTGGTGCGCATGTCGTGCGCGCCGTGCGCCAGCGTCAACGCTCCGTCCATGTACAGTGACGTCACGTCCAGGAAGGAAAAGGCGCTGGATTCTAAAATGTTCAAGTTGGGGTCGCAGGTCTTGTTGGCCAGGGAGCAGTTGGCCAGCTGCTCCCAGGCCGGTTTCAACCACGGGTTGGTCGAGTTGGCCGGGTCACGTGACCGAAGGTACTGGTAATACTCCGGAACCACCGAAGCGTAGAACCTGAATGTAAACATCCCCATGACGTCACTCTCGTAGCCTTTGTAGCTCGTCCTGAAGATGGATCCTAGACCGTCGCTCCCCAACCAGATGAAGTGACCAGTAGCGTTCAGAACTCTAACATTGTCGAACAGATTCTTAGCCTGTACGGCGTACATGAACAGAATGACCACCCGTGCACGGGGATAACTCAACAAGTTTTTCACAATGCTGTTGTAGTTTGACTTCTCATCGACACGGTGCGATGCGGCGATGCAGATCCCGTAATCGTGCGTCGCGGTTTTGAGATTATCGAAAGCTTTTTCACCGTAGGATCCGGTGATGTATACAACCGAGATGTAGTTCCATTTGTTGTCTTTTATGAAGTTGACCATCGCGGCGACTTGGTATTTGTCGGGCGGGGCGACCCGCATGAAGAAAGGATACAAGGTTTTGTCGCTGAGGCTATCGCTGGTAGCACTGCTACCTATGACTGGGATTTTCGTAGTAGCCAGTAGCCCGGTTATCATAACCGTGGACTGACTCACCTGAGGGGAAACGACGCCGATGACGTTGTAATACGGCATGGCGGATGTACCGTAGTCGATATTTCTGGAACCGTCTGTGGAGTTGAAATCTTTAACGCGCGGTAGGAAACTCAACGATCTCGCCATAGCAATGTTGGGGTTGTTGCAGTCGTTGAGGACAACAAACCCCAGCGTCACGTTGGGGAGTAGCCCTGGGTCATCGTTAACCTGCTTGACCACAAAAGGCAGGACCTCGGACAGTTCCAGCGCCAGCGACCCGGCGACCAGTTTATTGCTGCAGGTATTGCCTTTCAGCTCGGTCAAGGTCACGAGAACTCCGATGTTGATGTCCCCGGGTTGGGAGTACTCAAGCTGATCCAAGTACGAGACGGCCAGTGGCGGATTGTTGCGACCGTTTGATGACTGTGTGCGCGATTGTGTGACCAACAATGACGAAGTTAAAAACAAAATACCCAAAGTTTTAAATGTACATGTCGATCGTGCTTGGCTGATAGTTAAACTATTTCTCTTCATTACTAAACGATGATTTGTGAATATTTTATCATACTTCTTGAAATAAGCAAAATTCTTTATATTTAAAAACTTTCTTTTAAAATGTAGGGGAAAAACAGTCGTGAAATAAATGGTTTGATTTTAAAATATTTTTCAAACTTAAAGTCGAAGAAAAACACTGTAATGAGCAAATTTATAATCGAGCTTGATTTTTTTCCCCACATAAACCTGTTCTCAAAAATCTGTCAGAACTATTGGAACCGTTTCATTGAGGTTCCCATATAAACTTCTTCGCTATATCCTTACGCTGAAGAAGGCTTTGACTTAAAACATGACCATCATTTCTCTTTACACAACAGCGTTATCCATCTTTTACTGTCTGTAAATATATAGTAGATTACACATGTAATAAACATAATTTCAAACAATACATCGTTGTCAATTTCCATTTGACCAAGATAGAAAGTAGATTATACATGTGATAAAGATGACTTTCCAGTGCATTAATCTTTATCGAAAATAGAAAGTAGATTACAGAAAAAAAACGTACATATTGATGATAAAACATTTAAATGCACATCAGAAAGTTCAGACTTTAAAGATTTTTAAGTTTTTATGTTGTTTTCTTTTAATAATTACAAAATTATCGAAAACCGAGTAGCTATTTTTATTTTTAACTATTTATCGCACATATATTGAAAAATAAGTGGTATAGAACATTTACGATACGTGAAGTCAAGCTCTATGGAAACGAAGAGGTAAATAGGACAGTTTTATGAAACTAATGCAGACAGCTTTATGAAAACGAACAGCTAATGAAGACAGCTATACAGCCATAAACTGCTAATGAAAACAGCTATACAGCCACGAACAGCTGATGAATACAGCTCTATAGCAACAAACAGCTAATGAAGACATCTATACAGACACGTACAGCTAATGAAGACATCTATACAGACACGTACAGCTTGTGAAGACAGCTAAACAGCCATGAACAGCTAACGTACCTGAAGACACATAGGACCAGCACCAATTAACACGTTTATCTAGTGTCGACGCTTCATTGAGTGACTCTCGTCATACTATCGCGATTCAGCAAACGACCTTTATACCTGATCGGCGATTCCCGGTGTACTGTCAACGACCTTTTATATCAGATCAATAGTCAATATAAGAACATTGAACGCGGAACTGACGATTCGCATCTTATACATTTACAATACACGTTCTCAATGGCTAAGTAAGTTTTTTTATTTGATTTAAAAAGGATTAAATGCAGATGACCATTTCATATGGCAAACACTTCGCGTAGATAGTTAAGTAGTATGAACTAACTGACTGGTATTTTTCATGCTGAACAATCCTTGTAAATATTTAACAAAAAGGAAAAGAAAATTAGCTGAGGAATACCATCAAACTTTTCAAAATTCCATTTAAGATGAGAAAAATAATTTTTGATATAATAAATAAAAAAAATAATTGTTTTATCATTTAAATATTTCTGCCACTTTAAAATGGTTTGAGAAATTACATTAAAGGCCTACACTACGATAAATTCAAGCATTTTTTTTTTTTTTTGCTGAAGATCAAATCTAATTTCGCAAAGTTGAATTAAATTCACGGAAACTGAAATACATTTTATTGCACAGTGGAAAATTTAAAATACGGATACAAATTACGTATACTATTAATAAATCTGACAGTTTACAATACTGACCTTTTAAAGTAATTATTCCAAGTATTAAACTTCGGTACTAAGGTTGATAATTAAAATGTCTGAACGTCCTAAAAATGTTAAAAAGTACAATTTCCATAAGAAACTTCAAGAAGAAAAGCGAAAACTTACATTGAAAAAATGTCCAACTTTCACAAAATTGGCTTCAACAATAAAGAACAAAAAAACTCAAAGATTTTCGAGTTGCCTAACAATTATTAAATGTCATATAGAGGGGACACAGTAATTAAACTTAATGAGTTCTAGACTTACCTGGTTGACTCGAGTACAGCAGACGACTCACGCGTGGCTCTTTTACCTGGCAGAGTGCTCTCGTCTGCTTGCAACTGGTTCAAGTATCGAATACAGCGCGGGGAACATGAAAGAGAAATCAATGTAGAAACAAGATGGCGTCAGACGCTGACGGTAAAAGTAGAAAAAAACTTTGGTTTTTAAATTTCACAGGGAACATTGTATTTCTATTTCTTAACGACAGTCAAATACTGCATTTCTATTGGTTAAAGACAGACCAACATTACATTTCTATTTCATCATCATACAGAGTGGTTTTTGATTGAGAAAAATTTTATTTTAGAGAAACCACATATTATTTGGGTAAAATTTAAGGTCACCATACTCACAGTAATAAATAAACTCTAGTTTGCACGCAAAATTCATATAATCATAAACACTTTATATATATATATATATATATATATATATATATATATATATATATATATATATATATATATATATATATATATATATATATATACATACATATATATATATATATACATATATATATATATATATATATATACATATATATATATATATATATATATATATATATATATATATATATATATATATATATATATACGATTTGTAGACTCGCTACGTTGCGTAAAATTGAAATGTACTCTTTTGGGGGACAGAAAAGATAGGCACATACATACAACAGCGTTTTTTTGTTTTTTTACTTCTCGTAAAATAAGGGGAGAGAATATTAGCAAGGGAAATAATACTCACCCATCAAAATCGCGTAAATTCGTGACACATAACTGATGTCAACTTTAAAGAAAACAGATAAACCAATTATTTGAATCTATCACGCCAACCAGACTTTGTTAACTCGGTGAATTTGTGATAGTCTCGCTTTGAGCCAGAGGCAGTCTGTCTTTTAGCTATGTATAAAAAAATAGCAAACAAAACTGAATTCTATGACAAGACATTAGCTCATCTCTGACTGGCCATTAGCCCTTCTATGACAAACCATTAGACTGACACGGCTGACATTTACTTTCGACTTATAACACCCCACAAACCTATTCCAATACAATGGATGCTTACTCAAAAAAAACCCTCCATTTAAAAAACTTTTATATGCTGTAATAAAATAAAATCCTCCATCGATTGATGTTGTCGATTATCGTTGCTTAAGCGGTATCGGACTTACAATCGCGGCTGCACTTTATTCATTACATCGTTTAGTTTGTTTGTGTAATCGATTTTCAAACAGCTCCTTGAAGGATACCTTTGAAAGGAAATCCCCGATAACTTTTCCCCTTTTGATTTGAGGTTTAAAGCCAGAGCTACTGGAAAGTTTGGTGTATTGTTATATTGCAGATACACATTTAGTGCTTTAACTTTAACTATACTAATTTGATATTTACTTGAAACACAATTACAAGTGTTACAAAGAGCTGACCTAATGATAATATTTAATTGATATTTAAATATTCATTGAATATGTGACCAGTTTCAAAACCATTAAAGCCGTACAACTTTCCATTGATATCGATAATGTAGATATTTTCAAAATAATAGAAACAATTTTTACCACAAACTTGGAATGAAATAACAAAATTAGAAATGGTTCAAAAATGTAATGACAATATCTGACCGCAAATTTGAAAATAAATCGCGTAATTAAAAAGGCTGAAATTTATTTACCAGATACGAACGCGAAAAAGAAAAAAATTCAAAATTAGAAATGGATCAAAATTTTAATTACAATATTTTACCACAAATTTGAAAATTAGAAAGTTGAAATTAATTTAGCAGATTTGACCACAATTTTTAAAAAAATAATGAAAAATTAAAAATGGAACACAATTTCAATACAAAAATTAACCACAAAGCAACCCACCCACAAACAAACAAACAAACAAACAAACATGCGACGAACATGACTCATAAAAGAGCTTGTTAAAAAAAAAAAAACTACCACAAGTACAGGCGACCAATCGGCTGTTTAACCCAGATTGTGACTGTAATTCTATTACACTTGAATGTCAGTGTCCTTAATAACCCTGAGAGTAAATATTTACCATCAATCGCACTTAGAGCACCAACCCAAACTCATTGAATAAAGTTCGGTGGGTTGTAGTTTGTTTAATTAGCTAAGTGCAGTAACGTAGTACCCGGCCGTAGGTCAGTGGCATGGCCTAAAGCTGCAGATTTACATAATTAACACTGAATTTGTAGTTTTTTATTTAACGCTACTTTGAAAAAAAAATCACGTGATTTTGGTTTTTTACTGTATGGGTAAACAAAACGTACACGTGATGTCTTTTTATAGTCACGTGCTTATCCCCATCACGTGATTGGCCTGCCAGTGATATTGCTCTTTGTGATGATGCATGCACACTGGGATTAACGATTCCATTTACGAAGCTTAAGTCGTGTTGTCTGAAGTAGTTTATCAATGGTGAAAGACGGGATGGAATAGCGAGTGTATTGAACTAGATTTTACTGTATAAGCAGTGATTTTTTACGTTTAGCTGCATAGCAATGCGCAGTTCTGTGTAAGATAAGTTGTCGTTCTTTGAATGTAGGCCTACAAGCCCACTTGGGATCTTAGCCTACTTCCAGATGTTTTAACATGTTATAAAAAATAATTATATTTATGAGAAGCTGAAATATGTAATACTCTAGTGCTAATATAAACTGATCAATCAAAATATAGTTTGTTTGCATGTTAATCAAATGATTATAATATGGAGAAGCTGAACTATCTAATACACTAGTGCTAACATAATCTATATAAATAAAAAAAAAATTAAAAAAAAAATATATATAAATATATATATATATATATATATATATATATATATATATATATATATATATATATATATATATATATATAATAAATATAATGTAAATAAATCTAAAATATATTTGGTCTGCTTGTTAAAACATTTTTTTTTCATTTTGAAATTATTTAAAAGGATAGAGAAACCAAGTAATTAAAGAGTTGATTAAAATCACGGTAAACACTAATTATCTTGGAAAT